TAGACTAGAGAGTGGAAGCTGGCAGCCTATGGGCTTTGTGTTATTTGACCTGCACAGTGATGTCTGTTTTATTATTTGCGTTTAATGCCTTAGAGGAAGCCTGGCATTCTCCCTTTGACCACATGTGCATTTCGTACATGTCCGGTTGCCACCTTTTTTCACCTGATATCTGTGGACCTAGTTTAAATGTGTACCCTTATTTTACACATGCGTGTGTTAAAACAGGATTTGTCCATGTCTGAAGAGACCTACGATGACTTTCCCCTTTGAAGCCATTATTCTGCATGGAGAGGTTTCTGCAGATTCAGAAACACAGATCAGCTTTCCAATTTCTGTAGAAGCTGTGTCTCGTAGGAGACTCAAAACCATTCTTCTAAGTTTAGTTTATTTTTTAGTCTATTGGATTGGCTTTGCCTTAGAGGAAACTTGAGTATTGTGGAGTCTGATTTCAGGTACCCTACTGCTGGAACCCTACTTCACCCCACTATCCTTCCAGCAACCTGAAAATACACACACACACACACACACACACACACACACACACACACACACACACACACACACACACACACACACCTCTCTTTCGTCCCCAAACTCTGAACATATTTCTTTGACTAGACAAATCCTTCAGGTACCCTACTACTGGAACCCTACTTCACCCCACTATCCTTCCAGCAACCTGAAAATACACACACACACACACACCTCTCTTTCATCCCCAAACTCTGAACATATTTCTTTGACTAGACAAATCCTTATCCTCCATTAGAGATGGAAAGATAAATTGTATGAATATGTCAATCACCTCTGCTCGGTCAAGTTGTATGTACCAGTTGGTATAAATGGCAAGTATCTTCTCCATTTTAATGGACTACTCTACTAAATTCCTGAAGACTTACATTGAAAAGCACACAAGAATATAAGATTGAAAGACTGCATGGCTAAATTCAGCCTTTGATATTTATTTCTAAAAGTATGAACACATCTACAGAGTAAATTACATTTGACATTGCTTAGTTGCAGCTTAAGATTCTAAATGACATTCACCATTTTCTTTTGTTTGAAAAGGTTGATATCTATTAAAATACCATTTTGATATAGTTATAAAATAGACTCAAAACTCATTAATACAAATGAGTTAATAGTACATACCAGTGTATTTTCAACTAACATGAATAGCTAAGTGAGTAAAGAATTGCTATTTCAATATTAAGAAATCATTCAAAATGGGAAAAAAACTGGTTCCCAATGCTGGTTGTGTCTAAACTAGAAAAAAATGACTTTATAAATAAATATTTGATAATATTGATTATGAAATAAACATTGATGATCTATGTATATATACATGCCTATTTTTGTTGCATAAAGTCAGTCAGATTAAACACTACCAGCAAATTCATATGTAAAATGCCAAAAGTTTACTAAATTCATATTGTGTTACATTTTACTTCTATTTTCAAGTTTCAAAGCAAATATATGCATTTTTGTATGTACGAGAGTGTACCCACCAAAAAAAATCCAGAATTATTTTTTGGGAGGACAGGACCCTTGTGGTACAGGCTTACCCCACTAAGTTAAGTGTTCGAGAAACCCACTGGCATCACTGTACTAGGTAACTTTGGGAGAGGCTGTGTTTGGCTTCAGTGAATTTTTTTTTTTTTTTTGAGATTCTTTCCATATGTTTGATGGATGATTTACAAGGACACTTGCCAACACTGTGCTGTGTTAGCAGTTTTTGAGCAAAAACATCATGACCCCCACGGGCCCCCCCCATTCACCCAATCTCACCCCAAGTAACTTTTTTTTGTTGTTTTCCTGGATGAAAAAAGTCCTCAGAGGGAAATGTTTTGACAATGTGCAAGAAGTAAAACAAACAAACAAAAAATTGGCAGAAGCACTAAAAGCTATCAAAATTGAGTTCAAAAACTCTTGAGCAGTGGTAAAAGCATCTCAACAGATGAATTACATCAAACGGAGAGTACGTTGGTGGTGACTGGAGGTTAAATGTGCAAGAACAAATACACAATTTTTAATAAATTCCGAGGTTTTGGGGTCCGTACTCCTATATATTTACATGTATGGATATACGATCTTGTCTTTAGCAAACAAAATAACCCCTTATTTAATTAATGTATGTTTTAAGTAGGTGAAGAAATATTGAGTTGTCTAGAGACGGAATTTAAACACCTGTGTGGATGAATAATTTGAAATTTACTCTTGAATAAGAGTGTTGTATTTAATACTTCTTAGATGTACAGTTGATCAGGCCAATGAAAACTATCCCTTATTGGTTAAATATCTTTCCTTGTTAGTAACATTTTAAACTTCTACTCATTCAAAAAATGATGATATGTGTGCACATATACATATGGTCTTCCTAGATTATGTCCCATAAAAATGCCAGATCTCTTATAATACCGTAAAAAGAAATCGGGCCATATAATTTAATTAGTAAACATTCTAAATCAACAATAAATTTTGATTTAACTGTTGTCATTTTTGTTAAATAAATTTGATAAACATTGCCAGCAGATTTACATTCAAAATGCAAAAAGTCACTAATCTAATATCACATTACAGTTCACTTATACTTGCAAGTGGCAAAGAGCATTCTCATAATTTAAATAAATATGTTATTTGAGATACAATTTTCAGAATTAAAACATTCAGTATATCACGCTTTTAAACTAATAATCAGATTCTAACCAACTCTACCAAAGTGACTATCTTTTGTTGCAGGACCCCAGATCAGTTTCTGGATTGTGAGATTTTAATGATAGATTGTAATTTAAAATTAGGAGACACTCTCCCATTTGCAGTCATTGTTAACTGTATACTCTTTCATTTGTTCAACAAAGATTGCACGTCTACATGAACAAGCATTTCCCCAGGTACTGGAGAAATAACAAAACAGCCAGATCTCTTCCTGCCCAGATGTGACTTACAGACTAATGGTTTGAGGCTCGAAAATCCATAAAGCATTATCAAAAAGCTAATGTCTAGGAGAATAAAAAGAGCATACATGAATTTTTTCTACAAATCTCTTTTAAAACAGTTCTTTGGGCTCTAGACCCTAAACTTTAGCTTCAGAAGTGTGAATTCTGACTGAGATTTATTCTAAATACAATAATAAAACTCTAAGACACTTCCAACTCTTCAAGTTCAAAACTTTTAGTTCAAACCAATAGAGTTGTTGGTAAGCAGAACAATGGTTAATGGATTTTCTAATTGGATCTTTCCTGATGATATGCATTAAGTAGCTGACATCACTGACAGAAATACTAAACAGCTAATAAACAGGCTAAGAGAAGGAACTTTGAAACTAAAAACCCATGTGCACACTGATATGTCTGCACGTGCAGTGTGTGTGTGTGAGAGAGAGAGAGAAAGAGAAAGAGAGAGAGAGAGAAACGTGGCTTCTGATAATTATTTTAAATAAAATAGCATCAATATAATTGAAGTTGTTGGGTTCTTTAAAAAAAAGTGGAAAAGAAAAGCTGCTGCAATAGTTATTGGTATAAAATGATTTTAAAAGTTAACCAAGTAATTAACTTCTATTTTTGTTGAGGAAGAGAAAGGAATAAAAAATCAGGGGGAAAAGACTATATACACATTAAGAAATCTTATCTGCACTCAAGATGCTCCTTAGAAAATAAACTCTGATTCAGACTCGTTTTCACCCGTTTTTCCCTCTGCCTTCGGTTGCAAAACCAAACTCTTACTACTTCTTTCTCCAGATTCAGTTCTTCAGCCATCCGCATGATCTCTTGAGAGGACGGTTTATTCTGTTCTCCAAAGTGTCTCTCCAAAGCATCTTTAGCAGCAATACTGGGTGGGGTGGGGGTAGGGGGTGGAATTATGTTGTTTTTAGTGAAGTTTGTAGCAGATCAAAATTAAATTAGGTTGAAATCCTAACTAATAACATCAAAAGGAAACTTAAGGATTCTGAACACAAATGTATAGTTTGTTAGACTTGTACATGTAGACTCATGTCTTATACCGGGTAACCTTACCAGAGTCACAGGAAGAAATAAGTAGAGCGGCCTAGGCCTTCTATGTTGATCCCACTTTGTGCTACCAGAAGGCATTGAATTATTGAAAAGGAAAGGAACACTTCCCTAGAGATTTCCAAATATCTCCCCAAAATCATTTAAGTTGTTTACAATAGATGAAATGTCTAGTGAACCACTAACCAACCAAAACAAAACCTGTCTTTCGGGATTTACTATGTGTGCCTCACAGAAGATACAGACATCAGCAAACATTCTTTCAGGGTTGAAATGCAAGAAGTCATGCTGGACTTTGAGAGACTGAAATACTGATTTCTCGTGTTGCTATTTAATAGCATAAATATTGTACCAAAGATACCGAATAGCCAGAGCAAGGAGTTATATCTAAACAGATTTCAGAGATGGCTGCTCTCTTAGAAGTGATTGTTTGGTTGCTGTGTTTTCCAGAACTTCTGGAGCAAAAATATTCTTGAATTAAACAACACATAATTTTTTATCGAATATTGAAAATTACTAGCTCTCCAGTTCTCACAATTAAGTCACTAAACTATGCTTTTTCAAAACCTGTCTTGTGGCTGGCTGTGGTGCCTCAAGCCTGTAATTCCAGCAATTTGGGAGGTAAAGGTGAGAGGATTGCCTGAGTCCAGGCGTTCGAGACCAGCCTTGGCAACTTGGTGAGACCATGTCTCTAAAATAAATCAAGAAAATGAGCCCAGGATGGTGGCGTGTAACTGTCGTTCCATCTATTTGGAAGGCAGAAGGATCACCTGAGCCCAGCAGGTAGAAGCTGCGGTGGCCGTGAGCATGCCGCTGCACTCTCACCTGGGCGGCAGAGTGAGACTCTGACTCAAAATAAAATAAAATAAAATAAAAAAATAAAAACCTATCTTGTTTCTTCAGTTAATTCTATTCACCTTACATTTCATGCTATGTCGTGGCTGTATCGCACTCATTCTATTTGAAAAATATCTTCTGCTTCTTCTAATCACTTTTCATATAAAGAATACCTTATAGTTGTTCTTCGTTTTCTTTTTCTTTCATTTGTTCCCACTTTTTCATTGCACAAAGCTACAATGTGGAAAAGAAAGATAGTTACAAACACAGAGTCGATCTTCTCTTTTTTAAAATCAGATTTGGGTTTTCAAATTTTCTTTGTAGAACAATACAAAATAAAAATGCCACGCATGGTTGTCGTCAATTTTGGCAGTCTGGGGCATTTTATATTACAGGCCTCAGAGGGGAAAAAAATGTTAATACAGAAATAAATATTCACCTTGCAAAGACTGTTTTCTGCAAATAATATCCTCACCTTGCTTTTGTGGGGACACTCACTGAAAATACTCTCTCACCTTGGCTCTTTATCCAGCTTTGACACTAATACGAGTCGTTAATTTTATCTCATTAAATTGCTTATCTGGCAATGGCTTATGTCATATACTGGAAGACGAGTGTGTACAAAGGCCCTGTGTTACACTAATCTTAGGTTATAAAAGTGGTTCACGTTCAGTTACTGCAGTAAAGCACAGAGGCGGAAAACCCGTATCTGCTAAAAAATAAATATTTCACCACATCACGCTGGTGTTACCTTATCTTCAAAACTTTTCCTTATCTCTCCTCAATTTAGTTCTACTTTTGTGCTGGCCTTTGGCTGTTGTTGCTTTCAGTCGGATGTGACAAGATATTTGTTTTTCATTTCAAAAAGAAAGGGGAAAAACTCCCTCAAATCCCTTACTTTTGCATGAATCCTCCCACTGTTTTTGCTATTGTGAATAGAGCTGCAACAAACATACATGTGCAGGTATCTTTGTTGTAGAATAATTTGAGTTCCTCTGGCTATATTCCCAATAGGGGAATTGAGGGAACATTATGCAGACATAAAGAAGGACAAATATACGGACTTTGCAACAACTTGGATGGATTTGGTGTCGATCATACTCAGCAGTTTATCACAGAAACAAAGAATTGAGTTCCATATGTTCTCACTCTTAAGGTGAACTTGAACAATTATAATGCTATAAGAAAGCGATTGGCAGTAGTGGAAAACCATCAGTGGAGGGGGGTGGGATTGGCAGTGGAGGGAAACGGGGAGGGAGGGGCATACCTCATCAACAAGGGTACCTGCATGATTAATGTTTGTACACCTAACCCTGAATTGCACCGCACATCTTTATAATACATTAATTAATTTTTTTAAAAAAACGTGGCCTGGCCTTCAGAGACAGCACTTTGGTACCTCCCACTTGCTCGGCCTCCTCCAGCCACTTGGATAATATTGCTTTCAGCTTGCACGCGTTCTTAAAGCTGAGCTGCAGGTTCTCAAATCGGCAGATCGTCGTCTGGCTGAACTCCGAGCCGTGCACGGCTGCCAGGGCTTCTCCAACATTCGTTTGCGTGTATCCTGGGAAGGGACGATGGAGACCCTTAGCCCCAGTTTTTCAAGAAGCATCCATTTTGGTCCACGATCACACACATCTGCATGTCTTGTCAATGATTAAACACATTTTTAGTGATGTATTTTTGGCAAATTAGAGTTATTTAGTAAGGCTCAGTGTGGTATTGCCTAGTACTTCAAAAAATATTTCTTCTAGGTGATAAATTACTTTTCTCTAGATGTCAAAATAATTCAGATAGAAACATCTGCTATTCATAATATTTAGGCAAAGAGGATAGGCGTGTCCTAAACATTTTATACGTAAAAATTCTTGCTCTTTTTATCATTACATGTCAGATAACATATGCCTCGAAATCTTTAATATATTAACTATGATGAACACAACATATGGTGATAGATCATAAAAATGTTATTTCAATTGTCAGAGTGAAAAAATCTAACTATTGTTGAAGGGTGCCAAATAAAACTAAGAACTATGATTATTTCCTCTAAAAACATGTTTATTATGAGTCTGCGATCACATATTTCATGTATCCCTCCGAGAACATTTATTATAGTATTTGGTAATGCTTCTATCTCCAGACAAAACAGCCTTATTGATTGTCCCAAGCTGCAATATTTATTATTTAGAGTACAAGCTGAAATAAACCGTCAACATATAATTTGAAACATTCACAGCAAAATAAATAGAAAACCAAATAGAAAACTGAAAATGGATATTATAAAGATACCTAGTGCTGTGTTTATCATGTAGTAACTGCATATTATTTCAAGGCCTAAGGCTGTATACCTATATGTATAAAATGATCACATATGATGCCCATCAATAAATATTATTATAAAATCACCTGTGATTCATTCTGCAAGTGCAGAGGTTTGAACTATCATTTTGATACCTTAAAGAATACACAACTTCATGAATTTTAACCAAAGTCAATTGTTGCAATTATTTTATGTTAAAAAAACATTTTTTAATAGAAATTGAGCAAAAGCTCTGAACAAACAGTTCACAGGAAAGAAATACAATGATTGTCAAACTTGTAAAAGAATACTCTTCACTCTGTACTCATAATAAGAAAATGTTTAAATGAAATTATCATAAGATCCCTGTCTGGTTTGCAAAGATTGAAAAGAGTTAATACCATATTTTTTCCTCCAACCTGTAGTTATTTATTTTGTGTTCTAGTCATACACTGTTCTCAGTGATGGGGGTATACCATTAAGGAGAAAACAGAAGAAATAGATTCAAAATATCTATGACCATACCACTGTGAACACGCCTATCTCATGTGATCTCGGAAGTTAAGCAGGGTCAGGCCTGTTAGTACTTGGATGGGAGAAATAGATTCAAAACCTGTGCCTTCACAGAGCCTAGATTCTAAGGGAGTGAAGAGACACTCATGGTGGTAGCAGAATTTGGTACAACTTCTACGGAGACCAATTTGACAATATCTTTCAAAATTACAAATACACATATTCTTCCATCAAGTAATTGTGCTTCTTATTTCTACATATGCATTTACCAAGGTGCAAAACGATGTTTATAGTTTTAATCATTGGGTCACTGTTTTAACAGCAAAAGATGAGAAACAACCAAAATTTCATCAGTAGAGGACTGGATAAATGGATTGTGGTATACTCCTAAAGTAGAATTTAACAGCTCCATTTAAAAAAAAAAAAAAAGGAGATCTAGGAAAACTAATACTGGAAACTCCAAATTACATCTGTATGGAGCAATATATGTATTTGCTTACATAGGTATATGATATTACTGGAAAGATACACAGGAAACTATCAACAATAATCAACAGAAAAGCCAAGCAGGAGGGATAAATGTCTCCTACACTCATACTTTATAATCATATGAATGTATTATCTATTCAAAAGTTCAAATAAAACATAGGTAAAAATGGGCACTTCAAAATGAATTTTGAGCCAGGTAATTTGGGAAACAGTGCCATTAATTTAAAAATTTTTGACTTAAGCTATTAAGTATTTAAAAGAAAGAGTTTTTACTTTTTTTTCTGAAGTCCCTCCCTCCCTCTCTCTCTCCCTTCCTTCCTTCCTTCCTTTGTGAGTTGGGGGTCTCACTGTGTGACCCAGACTGGAATGCAGTGGCATGATCATGGCTCGGCATGATCACAGCTCACTGTGCCTCAGCCTCCCGGGCTCTGGCAATTCTTCCACATCAACCTACCAAATAGCTGGGACTACAGGTACACACCACCACATCTGGCTAATTTTTTGTTTTTTGTAGCAGCAAGTTCTCTCTATGTTGCCCAGGCTGGTTTTGATTTCCTGGGCTCAAACCATCCTCCGCATCGGCCTCCCAAAGGGCTGGGATTAGCGCATCCTCCCTGTAGATTTTCATTATTTGGCTAATTTAGTCTACAGCAGGGATCTAGAATGAGAACTACGGCAGGCTTTGGATCAGCGTGGAAGAGGTTTAACAGGAATAGATTAAGGATTGGCAGACCAAGTTATTTTCTCCATTGCCTTTAGCAAGCTCATACCTAACTTAATTCTTCTCACTTTAAATTCATTGGCAAACTTCTCAAGTTCTCGGATTTCTGGAGAATCCAAGTCGATTGGCTCTTCCACCAATTTACTTTTCCGCCTGAGTTCCTGCTTGAAATCGACAGCTGTGGGGTCCTCGGCCAGGAGAGGCTGGTGGATAGGGGGAAACCCATGTCCCAAGGTGTGATCTGGAAACTTGTAGAGACAAGGGGTCAAACTACCTGTGAGTAAACAAAGACAAAGAAAAAGGGGTTTTGATTTGCATTTCTCTACCGATGAGTGAGGCTGAGCACTTTTTCATGTGTCTGTTGGCTGCCATATATCTTCTTTTGAGAAGTGCCTATCCATGTCTTTTGCCCACTTCCATATGTTCTCACTCATAAGGTGACCTTGAACAATTATAATGCAATAAGAAAGCGCTTGGCAGTAGTGGGAAACTGTCAGGGGAAGTGGGGGGTGGGACTGGCAGTTGGTGGAAACTGCTAGGGGAGGGAGGGGCATACCTTGTCAACAAGGGTACCTGCATGATCAATGTTTGTTTACATAACCCTGAATTGGACCCCACATCTTTATAATAAATAAATAAATTTTTTAAAAAAGAAAACAAATATTTGTATTATGGACATTTCTGAAGAAGAAGAGAAAAAAAAGAAGCTAAGCAAAATACATGTATACAATCATTTGTGCATACTTATTAAATTATAAAAAAGAAAAAGAAAAAGACCATTTGTAACAATTCCTTGTTTCTATACAAGGAAGGGTTTTGCCTGCTACAGACTGTTATTCTGCTGTTGCCAGAGTCAATTCGACAAGTCCTGTATATACGAGGTCCAACAACCGGTTTGCAAACCATCCTAGAAAAAGTGCTCCATACCTTATTGCTGAATATCACTAGGGTCACCTTCGAAGTACTCCTCTTGGCAAGTTGTGCACTCACACCAGTGCCTAGTCCATCCGTCGAAGCAATTTTGGAACACTTTTTCGGGATTGGCCGTCAGACCTGTTGTAGTTATTTGTTGAAGTCTGACAATTAAGTTGGTGAATTTGCCACCGTGCGCTGACGTTGGCAGCACTGTACAAATAACTGTATTGGAACACACGCCATACTCACCTGATCTGGTCCCCAATGACTTTTTTTTTTTTTTTTTTTTTTACCCAAAGATCAAGGAAATATTGAAAGGAAGACATTTAATGACATTCAGGACATCAAGGGTAATACAATGACAGCACTGATGTCCATTCCAGAAAAAGAGTTCCAAAATTGCCTTGACAGGTGGACTAAGTGCTGGCATGGGGGCCTAGCTTCCCAGGGGATGTACTTGGAAGGTGACCGTATTGATATTTGGCCATGAGGTAGGTAGCACTTTTTCTAGAATGAGATTGCGAACTTAATTGTCACACCTCATAGGAACAAGTTTCATCCTGAGAGTGTGTTCCTAGGTCCAGCTTGTTCTTACATCTGACAAAGTTAGCCTAGGTACACAACAGACACAGCAGGCTATGTAGTACTGTACTGTGATGTTTAAAATACTTTTCACACAAATAACACATAAAAAGCAAACAAACACAAAAAATAAAAAAACATTTTTCATCTTACAGTACTGTATCTGTGACATGGCTGCTTCTACACTTGCTTTCAGACATGATTGGTTTGAAATGAAGACACTGTACTACAGTACTCTATACAGTACTGTACAGTAAAGTATGCAGAAGAGCTACTTGTAGGGTATATGTACATGACGATGTATGCCAGACACGTGAACCAATGTACATGTTCGCACTTTCGAAAGTTTACAACTTGAGAGTTCATATGTAGGGGACTTACTGGACTTAAATGTTACCTTGCATTCAGTTCTCTGAAGTAGAAGTCAAAGGAGCTCCGTGGAAATGGGATTCATTATTTTCTCCAGAGCAGCAAAATCAAAGACAATGTTAAAGGGAAGAAGCAGGGTTTTGCAAATAATTAAAATAGAAATAAGCAACTTTTCCCAGAAGCGTAAATTTTCTATCAACTTTTTCTCTTAAAAGACATCTACTAGAATATCATTGTAAGATTCTAACTGGAATGTAAGCGTTGATCTCTGTTTTCTCAATTTATTGAGCAAATAATCTGTGATGTTTGTTATAATCAAGGCACTAAATGCTTTGGGTTAAGTACTAAGTTTTCTTGTGATTGAGAAGTTGACTTTACAATATTAGAAAGCCCCACTTTTTCATTAGTAAAAACTTGGTTTCAATGGGAATCGCATGGGTTGAATATAGTGCATAAAAGAATTATGCGAACATCAAATATTTTAATATGATTAAATAGATTTGAGAAGTGATTAGATATTAACAAAAGATGACTGAACGTTTTATTAAAAAGTTACCAGGCTGGGCACAGTGGCTCACACCTGTGATCCCAACACTTTGGGGGGCTGAAGCAGGAGAATCGCTTGAGTGCAAGGGTTCAAGACCATCCTGAGCAACATAGCAAGACCTCATCTCTTCAAACATAAAAATAAAAAATTAACTGGGCCTGGAGGCGCATGCCTGTGGTCCCTGATACTCGAGATGCTGAAGAGGAAGGCTGGCCTTAGCCCAGAAGTCAGAAGTCAAGACTGTGGTGAGCCATAACCGTGACACCTCACTCCACCCTGAGTGACAGAGTGAGACCTGGACTCAAAAGAAAAGAAAAGAAAAGAACACCAACAAAATCTCTTAAAAAGATAATATATTTTTAAAATGTCTTAAAACATATAATATAATGGAATCATTTCCTGATTATTATTTAAGAAGTAAAAATAAGTGGTGACAGAGGTTATAATTTTAGCTATAATAGGTAATCACCCATAAATGATGAAGCATCGACTCTAATAAGTGGATTTAATGATAAATTTTAAAAGTAAAATTTTCTGATTTAAAAAATGCCTATTTCTGTAGCATTTGCATTGTATTAGGCATGATAAATAATCTAGAAATGATTTAGAGTATAAAGGGAGATGTGGCTAGGTTTTATGCCATTTCATATCTCAGACTTGAGCATCTTCTGATTTTGGTATCTTTGAGATTCCTGGAACCAAAACCCTATGGCTACACAGAGATGGCTGCATGGCCAAGACATTCTGACATAAAAATATTGAGTAATTAATCATTTATCTTATGAGTATGAATGTTTATCTAAAAATAAATTACTATGGAATACATACTATAATCATTCTTGGAAACTTACTAAAAAATGTGGTAGAAGTTCATGCCACTTACAATTTGTCCACAAATCAAAGACATGAGTAATAATGTATTTTACCAGAATATATAAATTTTGTATTAATATATCAATATTAATGAGTAAAGAAAAGTGTAACTCAGCAAATTGTTGGCTTATGTTATTTATAGGACAATAAAGAACACGTCTGATAGAATGGACTATTCTTCTGAGCAAAGTAAACATACAAGTGAAAGATTAAACAAAATGACATATGACAAATGTGTCTGCTTCACTGCTGTGAAAAAGATTAGAAAGAAACTATTTATGACTTGATAATCTCATGCCACTTTTACAAAGTAAAAGTTTTCAGGTTTACTTCACTTTTTAAAAAGTCAGTTAACTATGTGTTTTATGTTTAAAGTGTGCTATATAGAACAGAGAAACGTTTAAAAAAACAACTGTAACCACTTTTAACTTATTATGTAGCTTTTTTTGAAAATGTTTATTGCTTCATTTTTAACTTCCTATTTGTTTTAGATTGCTGCTAAAGTAAAAGACTATTAGATATAAGAAGAAAATGGATGATACGTATTTTCACATCTATTTCATTTTTACCTCAAGACTTGTCTTTTACCTTTGCTTTCAGAGTTGATTCTCACGTACATAAAAAAACCCTTCATATCTTTCGTCATTCAGATATTCAAGCATCCCTTAGTATATTTAATAATGGAATATCTTAGAAACAGTAAAAAAAAATTCAGGCTACTGTTTGATTTTGCACACTAAATATATTCTAAGACACTTTAGATAAGTCATTTAACCTATGTCAGATTAGTTAATTTTACTTAATTTATTGCATATTTTTAAATAACATACCATAAATTCTGAATTTGTTAGCAATCCTATTTATAATTCTCAGCTATTCTTGCCAATCATAATCATCCACGGCTACAAATCTTCTATTCAACACTCATGCTGTGTTTATTTCACATTTGTCACCTTCCTTATCCTTATATAAACTGAAGAGTTAGGAAGGATAGATATTGCTCATAATTGAAAATTTAGGAAATTTTAATAGAAACAAATTCAACAACTTCCCTCCAGTGCCACAGTGAACTCACTACGCAGTTGAAAATAAAACTGAAGTCCAATAAGTGTAGCAATAAACCACATCAAAATCATTGCCTAGTCTATTTTCCAGGCAGTCTATACTCAAGTATATTAAATAACTTTTCTTTAAAGGGCTTTTCTGTGTTTAAACATATTTGGCTACGTTAAACATACTTGGCTACGAGAAAAAAATATATTAGAAGTGTGCCATTTCTATTTCCAGAAAATTTTAAAAGGGTAGTTTATACATTATAAATATGTGGGAAAGTAGATATGTAGAAAACAAGTTTGAACGGAGTCCATGAAAAGTACTCAGAAAATACCATGCTCCAAGGTTTGTTTTCCAGAGCAAGAAGGAAAACACGATGTATAAACACATTTCTATTTTGCCTTATATGAGAGTATCCACAATCATCTGCAGGGTCAGTTTTCCAGGAATTAATTTTACCAAGAATCTCATCAGTGTTTCCAAGCACAGCCCGGTTGTTTTTCTGCCAACTGATCCTGTATTTGGGGGAGTGTGAGTGATAGGAATGGTATCTATGGAAAGACATTTTTCAAATTATTTTAAAGTCTAGGACACTGGGAAAGAAAATAGGAAGAAGATAAAAGATGGGGTGAGTCACGAGGAGAAGAGGGTTCATAAACATTTTCTAAAACACGGATAAAGAAAAATTGTCTTGAAGCCTAGACAATACACATCCAATAGCTTGGAAGTGTTGGCACACCGTCTGCAGTCCCAAATATAATCTCACATTGCAGATGAATCCACCAGTCTTTCTGAATTGCTATGTGTGTATTTATGTGTGGTGAGCAGAGGAAAATCTTTTTTATTTATTTATTTATTTAGAGTTAGGGGGTCTCGCTCTGTCTCCCAGGCTGGAGTACAGTGGCAGGATTATGACTCACTGCAGCCTCAACCTC